CATGTTCCACACGGAACGCAAAGAATGAAAAAGAAAAGGAGTTTAGCTACTAGTTGGTGCAGTTAATAACATTTGAGATTAAATCGTATTTTACTCCTAGAGTGCACTGAAATGTAGTAAACGGAGATCATGTAAACAAAACACCTCATAAACTTTAGATCGTTGATTCATTGCATTTTGTTTACTTAAAATACTCAAAATTACAATAATAAACGTTTTTAACAGGTCAAGGTCATCTTAAGGTTCATTCAGGGACAAGATGAGTGTTTAGTTATAATATTGAAAATTACTCATAATTTTAATGCTACAAACTATTTCAATTATAGAGAAACGATCATTAACCACATTCGCTGTGTTTTGTGATAGCATGTTGTTTCTATGATTTCATACACCTAGTTACCGTCTTGATTAGCACTCATCGACAGTTTATGAGGTTTTTGAACCACTACTATTATTATTTATTTCTTGAGTCCTGAGTGGAACACAGAAACTCAGCACCACAAGTCCATTGTACTCGGCCGTCTGCTGTCACTCCAAACTGTCTTCATGATAACACACAAGCTTTCTCCAACATATCACCCTTGGACACATACCCAACTCGTTACTTTCCATTCGGCTTCAGTTACAGAGCTTGCCTAACTTTAGGTTTCCTCAGAGTGTGTCCAGTCTAGCTCAGTTGCCTTCCACATATATGTTGGACTTTGGGTTTCCGGATGGTTCGTTGCTTACCAGAGTTCTCTTTTGCTTATCGTTTCTGGATGGCCATCTAACCTCCAGTACTGAGCTGGAGAAAATATTTGTTGGTTGACCAAAGTCTACAAAAGACTGTTGGAAATACTTTCATGTAGTACGTATACCAAGGCTGTGAATCACGCATAAATCACGTTTTGTGTGTTGAATGCTGTGTATGTTCAGAGTAATAAACATCCGTCTTGCCGTGATTGGCTTTGATAGGCTAGTCTGTGCCACCGCGTATAGCTGAAGCGATGCTTCCCATACCAATTAAGTGAAGGGGTCCACCCGGTTGGGAGTGGGGACAAATATTCGCCACCAATGACACTGACTGGCAGTCGCGTTAAAATCACGAATTGGTAGAAGAAGTTAGAATTCATGGCCCACTGAATCAGGTTCCAGTGGCTGAATGGTCTACGAGCTGGCCTTATAACCAGAAATATCGGGGTTTGAGACCCAGTGGGTGGGTACTGCCAATGAGCCCAAGACTAGGATGAAGTAGATGCCTAGTATTCCGTGGTTTCCAGTGGTTCTCTAACTAATATCAATCCGTGGTCAAACTCATATAAACAAATCAAATCCCTGTAAACTAACTCTGGAAAAAAGACGATAGTGATTGGTGCTTGTTGTTGTTGTTATTGGTAACTACCTTCATCACCTCTACCTATCCCATGTTCACCTGAAGTTGCTTTCAAATACGTCCATCCTTCAGAACCATAGGATATCCAAGTAATAACTTACGGTTCGAATAACAAGCAAATATAATGATTGATTTTTTTACGAGTTGATCACGGATTGATATCAGTGAGAGAACCATTGAAAACCAGGGAGTACTGGACAGGTGTTTCATCCTCAGTTATTGCTGGACGAATAACATCCTGAGTAATACTGATGAATACACCGAATAGCTTAGTTGCAGCATGTGTGAATTCTCCACTAAGAAGCGAAAGTTCGAATATCAGTTAGTTGAAGATTCACCTTGCTAACAAGTGCCAGTAAGCACGAAACCTAAATCCAGAGCATTCTGGCGATTGTGTTTAACCATTGAATGGCAATTCAAACTGTATTGCCATGGTAAACGACATGGCCTGGTGACCACATTACAAACCTGACTGATACCAACACCAAAGGACTAAACGCATTATCAACAGTTAACTTGTAGGGAAGTGATATGTTTCATCTTTGGTCAGGGATTGATGTCAATGCAAGAACCATTGAGAACCAGAGAGTACCAAGCGGCTGTTTCGTCCTGCTCTGGCACTCTTCATCAGCACGAACCCATCCGAGTTTGGACGCACGACCTTCAAGTCAGAATTCAACATCGGTAATAATTCAGGCACTGGAACCCGATCCAAGGATCCATGGTCCCTGGTTCCCTAACTGATACTCGCTAGTGATTGGCTACGTGACGAAGTTGACTGGAGTTATCTTTAGTGAGAAGTCACGACCAGTGGTGTCCACCCACTAGGAAATGAGGACAAATGTTCACCGATGACACTGTCTGATGGTTGCGTTAAAACCATGAATTGGTAGAAGTTTGATCTGATGGATCACTAGATCGGATCCCAGTGGCTGAATGGTCAACGTGCATGCCACTTAACATGAAGGTAGTGGCTTCGATTCCCGGTGGAGTCAAGAGTGTATATTCCTGAAAAGTCACAAATTGAGACGAAACACCTGGCTGTCCAGTACTCCCTGATGGTTTTCAATGGTTTTCTAACTGACATCAATTAGGGATTAAACCCAAGACTATACACATTACATTGATTGCCACCATGATGACCAATCCGTATAACTCTTCCATTACATTGTAACTAGGATGAATAGACAAGACGGCTGCTTTGTGAATAATTAATACTGAAGTCTTCTATCTACAAATTATGATTTAAATACGAATTATTTTGTGTAAAGAAGACTGAAGCCTAAATTGCATGCATACAAATTTCCATGAAATGGAAAATAATAGACAGGCATAGTTTCATGTTCCCACTGATTGATATTATTGGACCGAAATTTTCGATCTCTGTTGAAATGTTCGCTCCTAGTATGGATGCTTCGGAGATGTCTGAAGATTTAGGTGATGTCATTTTGGATCAGGGTGACCAGCAATGGGATCCATGATGCCCACTCCCATTTGGGACTCATCAACTGGTTGTACCTGTAATCCCAGCTAGTGATGTTATTCACACAGAGTCTCGAACCATGTAGTCATCGTTTCAAACGTCAAAGCGTTATGCACTAGGCCACTGGTCCATGAGAGCAAATTAACTTGAAAGCAAATAACAACTGATACCCGTTGCATTCGATGTAGTTCTAGTGTCCCACTGATCTTGTGGACAACGCTTTGGTGTTTGAAATGATAGGTGCAACTGTCGAGTATCAGTAGGAACACTACTGCTCACTGAGAATACAGGCATATCCTGTTGACGAGTCCCAAATAGGACGAAATGAACGCCATGGATTTCACTGCTAGCGCATATCAATTAAAATAGCATAAACGTTTAGTTTTACACAAATTTTTCAGTTTTATAAATCGCATAAATCCATCATTTGACAGTCATGAGTGCTCTACTTAAATAATTTTTATTTTGTAATTGAATCTATAGAATTTTATGAAATTCGATAGATTTCATACTTGAAAATATAGGTCAAAGTTTGTTCAACGTTTTAGCTGTCAAATTTCAAAAGAATATTCTAATGTTATGAGTTCATAAGCATTCGCAATAGCAAAAATAGTGTTTCGCATTAGAATAACCAATGAAATTTAGGCACTGAACATTGAACGCATAACTGACTCATTTAAACATAAAGATCTTACCGTTGTAACGAGTCCATTTAAACCTCATCTAGTTTAGTGTGTACTATCCACTTTTTTTTCATTCCTGTACGTTCTGAATGGAACATAGAACTTCAGGTTTTGAAGTGTCAGTAACGATAGTGTTGATTTCACACAATGGAGTTGCTAACCTCACACTAAATCTTCCCTCTTTTCTGGCCTTACTGTCGGCTACTATACTAGGAGTGCATCGGCGGGAAATCAAACCTGGACGTATCATGTGACTAGCAAGCATTTGACAACTAAACCACTGACTCTTTTGTGTTACTTATAATTAGATATAAGTAGTATATCAGCTAAAGTATTCAAACAAACAGTAATAATTTGTGTGTTATTGGAAAAGTCACAGTGAGGAAGAGGCGTGATAAGGAGGCGACAAAAAATTGAGAAAAGTGCAATAAGGAACAGACAGAGAAAATAATACTATTATTTGTAAACTGCACAATCAATGTAAAGTTTATGTCTTGTATTTTATTACAATAAATGTTACTTCTAGCCTCGCCAGTAGCCTTGTTCACTTCACTGATACCAAAATGTATTTAAAAACAATATCAAATAAGGTTGTTTCATGAAATCTGCAAAGCACATATATGTAGTCAAAGTTATTTATAGTTGACTGTGAGACTGTCTGAAACAGACTATTCTACACGTTATGGGGAGGATTGAAGGCTTTTCAAAGATCTGGATCGCTCCATCCTCCTTTATGGCTGCGACACCTGGCCATTGAGAGTGGAGGACATGAAAAGTTTGGCCAGCTGTCTTTGATCATAGGTGCCTGCGTTCTATCTCCCGTGTGAAGTGGTATAATAAGGTGAGCAATATTGAGGTTAGGCATCGGTCGAGTGCTAGGTAAGGAGGGGAAATCAATCGACGAGGCTGTGAAGTTACATCGACTGAAATGGTTAGGATATGTGTTACGTATGCCTAACCATTGCCTTTCTTGACAGGCAGTGTTAGCTGACATAGGATCAGGTTGGAAAAGATCCAGTGGAGGTAAAACCAAAACATGGCTTAGTCAGTCAATGAAATCCACAACAGTTAGTTTAATCCACGTAGGAAGGTGTAAACTTCTTGGCTAGTTGGGGTCCTCGGGATGATAAAAACCAATGAAGGCTGTAGACAATCGGTGATATGGCTCAAAATCGTTCTCAATGGCGCAGATGCATCCACTCCTTGTGACTTATGATTCCCAATGAAACTATATTGTTCTTCGTTATTACTATTCCTTTATTTCACAACTCTGTTTACTGTCTCTATTTCGTATTCCTTTTTGCTTTCCTCTCTTGCTTTGTGTGCTACATGGAGTGTGGCGACTTGAACTGCTGCACATCGGTGCAAAGTTCTATGTCGAAACAGACAAACAGACACATCAAGATGATTTCGTTTTCTTTAAGTCCATAGAAAAATACAGTCATTTAATGAATTAGCTTACTTGTAAAATATAAGGAAAATCAAAACTGTTGTATAATTCTACATTCATTGAATCTTGAGCATATTTCTCCTTTGTTAAATTATCGCATTTCCCAAGAATGGTAGGAATGTTCACATAAGCATAATCAATCCAATCAGACACTGGTTTACCCATCCATTCACGACTGGCATATTCTTCTCGAGTAAGATACTAAGCATGAAAAGAAGAGATTTTGTGTGTTAGTTTTGTTTTAATGTTATATAAATAGACATTTTTTAAGAAAAAAACACAATTTAAATATCATTCACAAACTGCAGATAATTTATGCTGATCCAGACAGGTAATCATTACAATTCAACGTCGATCAAAAGATTGGAGATCCAAAAGACCTCGAAGCAGCCAGTCAAAGTAAATCATACTGATTCGGTTGGAAAAAGATTCGCTAGTGAAGAAAACATTTAAGAGAAGCGTGAGTATACTTTAAAGTGTCGTAAGAATAACTTCAAAGTTTCAAATAACAGTGTGGATATTCATCCCAGTGACTGTCGCTTATACTTAGCATCTATAGTGATAAGATAAGATTTGGAATTAGGATACCATTTTCAAGATTAAATCCACTCCATAAATACTGAGTGGCATTCGTCAATGTACAATAAACTCTATGACTCCATTATAACTGCATGATTACCAACTAGGGTCAAACCCTGATTGGACACTTGAAGATCATTGAGTCAATTATTCTTTTCAGTCACCGTACCTTTAACCTTTACACACATTGACCTACTCTTAAAATTACTCCTTTTAAAATTAAGCAATGAGTACGATCTGGAAATAATTTTTAGAAATCTCTTTTTCAAACAATGTCAGAAAATTAAAATTACGATGTAGAAGACGAAGATAAATTGATATAAGAATAAAACTTGTGCACTGTGGTGGAGAGTATAATTCCATTATGGGTAAAATTTGTTTTGATAAAGTCTCACAGTGTTATACAGTAATATTTACTGATCACGTTTCGAGCACAATTTATTGCTGCTCATAATCATATCAAGACACTACTCACACAACTTTCTAACTTTGTTTATATAATTCCATTATTTTTCATCGCTTGATTTGATTGGTAGTAGTATTTTCCATATTTCTGGTATGAGTGAGGAGTCATTCCTACTGCACGTGTTGGGTGTAGATTCTATGATCAAAGATTCAGCAATCAATCTCTCTCTCCACCTACCTATATTACTCTTTAGAATTTTGACTCTATCCCACCCGCCCTATTGTGTGTCATGCATGCAGTGCAATCGCTGAGCTTTTTTCTAAATTACTTATCTTCATGGGGTCAACTATTCTTACCTTAGCTAAATTCTTATGATCCGACAATCTGACTACCCCTGACCTACTAGTTTGACCTATGTAGTTGACCTCACAGTCATTTCAGGGTATTTTGTAAATTATATTATTTTGTCTAATTGCGTTGACCTACAGGGTCCTTTAACCTACAGAGCTTGACCTACCTGGGTGAGTTTGTAGGTTTGAATGTCACCCTAATTCCTGCTTTATTAAGAATCCTACTAAGTAGGGTCTCAGATGTCCCCTTCTTATATGGTAAAACTGTAGATGCCTTATATTCTTTCTTATTTATGTTATCATTATTAGTTCCAACATTATTTTTATTTTGCTTTTGGCCTTTTTTCATCTTTCTAATGAATTTTATAGGATAGTTAGTTATTTAACACCAACCAGCTATTCTTCTATCTGTTTCATTTCATCATTTAGGTCTTTTTTGTACTACTTAGTGCTACTCCTCGGTTTTTTAGACACTTAACTAAGCCTGTCTTAACAGTTAACGGATGAGATGAATTACAGTCGAAGATAAAGTTACTTCGGTTTGCAGAAACCACAGCCATCAAAAGACTTCGACCTAACCTCTGTATACAAGAAGATAACGTGATTAATCGCTCACTACCCTGGTAATCGTAATTGTTTTGTTCGTGTGCTTTTGTGTTTCGTTCTGTTGCATAACATTTCACTTGATTTTGATTTTCACTTACTGGGTTGAACTCACAATCAACTTTCCAAATCTACTTAACTGTTTTGTCTGTCTTGTAACTTTACTATTTACCACCACCCTCTTGAACTCTCCATAATAATATGTGTAAATTCACTCTATTGTTCTGTCTTGTATTTGTCTCTAGTGCATTCTTGTTTACCAGCGAAATATGAACCCTAACCACCCCCCTGGCTAATTATTCTATAATTAGTCGCTCTTTTAACGCAGAATAATTCGTCTACTTATATCCTGTTTGAAATTATGTTGCTTATACTTTCTACCTTGTATTTTTAATATATATTTTTTGTGCGTTGAAGTTTCTGTAGCAGTTTGATAGCTTTTGTGGTGTAGGGTTGCTAACTCCACGCTCAGCCCTCCCTCTTTACCCGGGCTTGGGACCGGTTAGAAAACTAACAAGCTAGTTAACTAATTCAAATGACCAGAAAAAATTAGTAACAAGAAACTCTGGCTAACTGGGAACAAACCAACAAGCAAGAACCGATTGCTCAACAAATATGTAGGAGAAAATGGAGATGGATCGGGCATACATTGAGGAGGCGGTTGGATGATATCTCACGCCAGGCCATCGCTCGAGTGGAATGTGAATGGGAAGCGACGAGTGGGTCGTCGATGCGAGGGTAACATGGAGGAGGTCGTATGAATTGGAGGAGGAGATGAGAGATTATGGACAATCATGGACCGAGCTGAAGAGGACAGTAGAGAATAGGACAGAGTGGAGATGTGTTGTTGAAGCCCTATGTTCCACTTGGAACCCAACTTTCTATCTATAACTTGAAGTTATTGTAAAAAGTATGTTCAGAAGTTTTTTTAACTTGTTTAGGATGTACACAGTTGAAACAAATGGACGAAATAAAACGAGCTCGTATTACCCTGCAACTATGTTTGTTCTTTCTTTATTCGAAGTGGAATGACTAACAAAGACAACCTTAAAGAATATATTATCTAGTGGAGCTGAGTGATCTGACTTAGGAAGGTGTTCACAGATAGAAGACTATGTTTGCCTTTTATCGATCAAACCGAGTAGTGATCCGGAGAACATGCTTATGATGTCCAATGTAATCAGCTCCACAAGAGCATATGAAAGAGTATACTCACTTAAAGGTGGACACAAGCGTTAGTTTATCCTTCATTCACCGTCAAATCATACCAGCGTTTAATACACTTGGATAGATAACTTTCAATTGCCTTTGTAACGACAGAAGACAAGGGCCAGGCAACAGATCGTTTATTGGAAAATCAACAGGTATTTATAGATTTCTATGTCCATTATTATTAGCGTTATTGTTAGCTGAGAAGCAACCTCTTCTGATTGGTTGTTTTCTTGCTGAAGGTTATTCTGTTATCTCTTTGTGGCCGTTTCTCAGAAAATCAAGTCATATATCTGTGAGTCATATTTGCACACGTTAAGTCTGCTGTGATTGGTTGGTGAGTTCCTCAAGGTTAAGCTTTGTTATTGTTTTTCTCATTACCCTGATTCGGGACGCGACCATTGACGTAAATTGTTGTCTACAATTTTGGCTTGCAGACAGCTCTCACCACACTTTAGCACTGGGTACCACCATTTGAATACCAGACTCAAAAGTCAAAATTATATATAACAGTATTCAGAAGATATTACGGATAGGCGAGAGATAAAAATTAAGAAAGTAGTTATAGAAACATTTTTACAAGAAATGTTCATAAAGCTTTCAAATCTAGGAATATTTTCAAGGCACAGAATACATTCAGATTTCGAAACATTGGAAAAGATTTGTGGCTAAGGTACTGTTGTGTTTTCTAAGCTGGAGTGGTTTACCTGTGAAACTCCCTTGTATTTCTGGACAGCATCTTTAGGAGTGACTTCAATGCATAGTAGTCAAAGTTTTGGTTCTGATTTAACCATGGCGAAACAATAAAATAATGAGGGCAGGAGTCTCTTAAATCCCACCTAGTGACTTGGAATTTACCAACAAATATTAATCTAGCTTATAATGAGTGCAGTAGATTTCCACTCGGATGTCACAGTAATGAAAGTCTATCTTGCTTTACCTATCCTGCCCTGGACATGCTCATTTATGCCGCCTGTAGTTATAAAGATGATGCCTAGATAAGTGAAAAAGTCGACTACCTTTATATTTCTCTCATTTATGGTGATTTCTGCCTTTTGTTTTAGACTGAATATTTTCACTTCGTCTATTTTCCCCATTTTCACATGAAGTCCTGTTTTCGCTGACCCTTCTAACAGCTGCCTTTTATGTTTCAGTACAGCAACAGTTGAAAAAGGCCACCAAGTCTTACGGTCATGAAATAGTCTAAGTTTTAAGGACTATTTTAGATTTCATCTCTTCAAACAAAGTGTTTAAAATGTTTTAAAAGATAAAAGCTAGGCCTAATGGCAAGCTTTCTTTCCATTTACTCAACTAGGTGTTTTCCTTTAACAGCTTAAAAAGGCCTTAAATTAGCTCTGTTTAGTTAGCATAATATATGCCTGAAAATGTCCATAGTATTTTAGATCATCTACTCTCATTTATGATGATGAACAGGTGGCTGGCCTTCCAGAAAGGATAAATAACAAGGGCCTCTGTTAGGTAGAGAACCAGCCCACAACCTATGGCCGGCCCAACAAATATGCAGAAGGAAATAGAGGTGGACTGGACATACTCTGAGGACACCGTTGAGTCACACCACACGTCAAGTAGGCCCTCAAGTTGGGTATGTGTCTGAAAGTGATATGGAGAGTATATGAAGCGGAAATGAAAGCTTGCGAACAGCAGTGAGCCCAGATGGAAAAGACGTCAGACATGTCTAACATTGCATTGTAAGCTAGTATACCTTTTCATAGCTTGGTATAAAGGAATTTTATTGAAATTCTGAAATCGAAGTAAATTTTAACAGATTAAAACTATATAAATGGTTCTTGTTTCTCACTCTCAAAGACGGTAGATAAATGCCCCGGCAGGTGTTCCAAGACTACTTCAATTACTTATGATAATTTTAAAAAACCCGATTGAATGTAATGGTCTTTGAAAAACAGTAGTTATTTAGCTATTCATATTGCATTTCACTGACTTACATCCTCTTTATCTGATGATGTTTCTGAGGTTTCCTCCACGCCATATTCATCGTCTATGTATTCAGATGGAACAATAACTTCTACTGGATCCTTACGAAATGACACTGATCTCCCTGAAAGAAAAGTTTCATTAGAAATAATTGAACATACTTTTTGTGCCAATGTCCAAGCTTTCATCTTCCTGACTTTCTTCGGTTTGGTAATCATCAATCGCGTGTATATCTTCACTCGTCACACTTAAAGTCCTAGCTGATTTGATTATAGAAAGTTTATTCTATAATTTATTTACCATCTAAACCAGCTTCATAATATCCCTCTGTGTTTTCCTCCGATGTTTGAGTATACTGGCATCTAAAACTACGCTCGATGCCATCATAACACAAGAGAGAGTAATATTCCTCCTCCATAGATTTTAGTGCTTATCTCTCATTCAACCTTTGTTCAGCCTGAAAGTTTGAAAGACGAGATTTAAAAATGGCAAGCAATTCTATATGAATGTGTATATCGTATTGGCTAATCAAAGTTTTCTCGAATTTATTATTTTATTTCATTCCCTTGAGTTCCGAGTAGAACATAGGAGTTCAGACTTAAGGTTTGAAGTTTCAGTAGCAGTGGTGTCTCTTTTTACGGAGTGTGGTTGCTAGTCTCACACTCAAGCTGCCCTCTTTACCAGGCATACTATCAGCTAAACGAGGTTTAGAGGTGAGTCGGCCGGCAATCGAACGCCGGACCACGTGGGTGGTTGTCGAATGTTCTACCACTGGAGCATCGACGCAAGTAGAGTTTCCTCAAATAGTCACAGGTAATTACGGAAAACTATATTACCTTAAATGACTCATCTTTCTCAACCTGGACTACGAAATTATAAATTCCTGAGTACAGATACGAATAAAACAGGAAGGATCTTGGTTTGAAAATCTAAAAAATAATAAGTCTGTGCCATATTAAGTCGATTCTTTAGTTAAATTTTAATTCTACAATTTTTTAATTCAGCTTTTGATCTTTCTACACTAAAGTGTATCCGCTAAACTTTGACAGCTTCTAGAGCTGTAGTCATAGTGACTAAGGACATTTTTTATTATAATAAGACCACTTCACTGTCAATCTTAGTTTGCAGTATAAAATGGATGCGTACCATGTTCACATACTTATTAAACAACGCCTTACAGATTAATTTTCTAAACAACTTCTAAATTTGTTCTCACTCGCTGTGATTCTTTTGGTGTTTCAGGCTAACTATATCAGGGTACTGAAAACTTCGTCAATCCACTTATCATACTACTGGTGACTTACAAAAACCAAGCTTACGAGCTCAAGTGCGCTTCTATAAAGGTTGGCATACGATGTGATATGATAAGTCAGTAAAGTTCGCGCTCCTTTTCCACTGGTTTTTCGATGTTTTCACTTAGCATAGATCGTCATTCATGAGTAAGTGCCATGAACAAAATAATTAAATTAGTTAGTAACTAGTGTCTAGTCAAAGTATCTAATACAGTCCTACAAGAGATCAATCGCGAGGCCAAATAGCTAGCTTAGTAGTAACGTCTCTGACTGAAGCACTGGATGACACGGGTTCGGATCTCAGGAAGGAAATGAGTTACTTCAAGATTACGAATACGCCTTAATGACGACTGCCAACTAGTACGAAACCTAGGTCAAAGGCTTCCTGCAGATTGCCTCCAACCACCTAATATCAAGAATTAAATGTGTTGGAAAAATCATTAAATAAGTCTGCAGGGTTAGTTTATTTCTGATAGTGACATCATGACTCTTATATATTCCTAATTCGACTGTTTTAAATGCCTTTTAAGGAAACATAGTCTGCTGCTCACATTTTGATCTAATAATCAGTGTTACACAAAGGTTTATCAGGACAAACGTAGACGCAGGTAGAGTTCCTTGAAGTCAATAAGTACGTGAGTTCAGCTTTCAATGAGAAAGTAGGATACAAGTGGGAAATTTCCACTATGTGAAAGTCATTCTTTTTACGTAAGTACTTATAGCAGTAGTCCTGAACTGAAGTCTAATGTTTATCTTAAAAAGTTGTTCCATGAAGACTACTGACATGTAGTTCAAGATAGAAAATAAATTCCCATAGGCTATTCTTTCAATTGCTCTAATAACCAAAGAGGAAAGTGAATATATGGTACAAATCGGAGCGTATAGAAAGCAAACACTTTTGGTGAAAAGTCCCTACTACAAAAAGTCGCTGCAGGAAAAATTAACAATCACTATAACCTACCTAGAATAACAGTAGGTAAAGAAATAACAATCCAGACATATCATTTAATAATGCATGAGATAATATTATTAAAGATGTAACCGAATCAGTTCACTCATTTCCACTTTCATTCCTTATTTACTCACATACACTCTGTTTCGTCAAAGATAACCTAAAGTCTCATCGACAGTGGGTACTGAATTCCTTCGTTTTAGTAAACTCATAAAGGTGAAGGCACTCAGTCAGACAACCATACAATCTGTCATGCTACCACGTTAAGTTCATTTACTCGTTCAGGATATCATTTCGGAAACAAACCGAGTAGAAGGTAAATTGTATTTAAGATGATTAAATTGTTGTATATACTCCAACATTCAACAACAGTGAAAACTTGGTGCAGCCAACAGTAGTATAACGGTTGTTTGAAAAAGATTTTCCCACTTTTCCCATTCTACCTGCTTTGCTCGTTCTTTACCCCTACACTTCACCGCATTTAATCATTGTCTCGCCAGTATTTCCCTAGGCCGCTCCTATCTAACCACTATTTCCCCATTTTCCAACTGTGTCGAACGACTGCTTTTCCACTAGGTCAGTTCAACTTACGTCACGTGAGTAAAACTGAGCCGAAGGTTAGTATGAACACATTATTATTACTGCTGTATTATTTACGCACTTCAAAATTCCATCGATAAATATCAGCACAGATGAATATAATCACTATATATGATGAATGAATAAGTAGAAAAACGATATGTGGTCATAATCCTGCTATATACATTTTTAAGAAGTATGGGGAGAAAGCGACCGGAAAAACAGCAACTGAGGATAACTGTGATAATTTTAATTTTCCTTAAAACCAGAGACACACTGTTCCGGCTCTCACTCTTCATTCTATGGTGAGGAAATGATGCAAAGTTATTTTTTAAATAGAAACAGTTAAAATAATCTTTATCTGGTCAAAATAGAGACATCTTCCATACACTTCCATTATTCGTTGAGTGTTAACACTTCGACTGAAGTGATGTAAACACAACACTTCTTCATTTGTGCAAACCCACTGAGTGATATTGTAGTAATGAATCAATTTTAACGATTTTTACCAATCGTTAGTAACTTCAAAACACTGCAAAAGATCAGCAATTGTGCACATTTAACAGTGCATTGTTATGTCACTGCAGGTTGTAACTTGGTAAAAAATGGACATGCAGAAAAGAATCATATATTGATAATCACATTTCATTAGTCCTAAGACACGTACATTGATGTTAATTGTAATAGCTGGTAAAGACAAATTGATAATGAACTATTGTGGATAAAGAAAATTCAAAATGGTTATTATTTATTTGTCCTTCAACAGCTTGGAAATCATAACATGACCTTCAAGTCGATTATAGTTCCAATATCCAATATCCAATATCCTGATTACGAGCTAGTATAAACCAGTGATTTCTTTGAGCTCGCTTCTTGATTTTAAGGTAGAGGTTCCAGATCTTCGGTGAACTTATGCGTAGTAAATCCCGCCACTCGACTGCTTTAGCTCTGGTAGACTCCAGGAGGAGTGATGCGAGGATTGGTCAAGATTGTGGTTTGTAGTGTGCAGTATGTTAGGACTCAGCTGCTGCCGTGAATGGAGTTTGACCTAACACCCGTCGGTCATTCGGTATAGTCATAAAAGTAGAGTAATAATAATAATAATGATAATGATAATAATAGGTTGTAGTGTAGATAATATAGGTTGAGATAAGTGAAATAATAAAGAAAGAAAGATAGAGTAGTCGGTACAGTGGGAGAAGACAGGACGGGTCGTGAAGATTTAGCTTGTATGCTTATCCATTGACAATGTGGTTTCAAATTTTAAGAGGGTAAGCCATTGAGACACAAACCATGCATTTCTGCATGATTGTCCAGCTTCCGCTTAAAAATCTCCACAGATGGAGCTGTAGTTACGGCCGCCGGTAAAGCGTTCCAGAGACGGCAAACTCGAAGCGAGAAGAAATGTGAACGCACTCGAGTCCTTGGTCTCTGGTGTGCTATCCTTAGCGGGTTTCCTCGTGGAAGCCTATAATCACTTAATGGCAGGATGCTCTTGTTAGGATGGGCCTGGTCATTTAGGATCTTATAGACGGTGATGAGGTCTCCCCTGTGACTACGGTAACTAAGTGTGAAAAGACTTAATTTCTTCAGCCTCTCCTCATATGATTTGTTGCGGAGGCCGATCACCCATTTTGTCGCTCGTCTCTGGACACTTTCTAGCATGTTAGCATCCCTTTTGAGTAGCGGAGGAGCAATGATATTATGCACCTCAAGGAGTGGCCTCACGTATGTCGTATACAACGTTAGGAATAGTTCAGGAGTAAGAGCTCCCAGTTGCCTATGCATAAAGTGTAAAGTGCCGTAAGCTTTGGCGACGTCCCTCGTGTAATTTACACTGGTGTCTAGCTTTTCTGTTAAAATAAGGCCTAGATCGCGTTCTGATGCCACACAACTCAAGTTCTGGCCACCAAGGGTGTAATTTGCACTCTGTGACCTGCCGGAATGAAGTTGCACTACTTTGCACTTCTTTAAGTTGAAAGGCATTCCGTTAGCCAGAGCCCAGTCCCCCAGCGTTTGCAGGTCAGCCTGCAATCTGTCGGAGTCTTCCGATGAGTTTATTGCTCTCCAAATCTTTACGTCGTCAGCGTAAAGAAGCGCAGAGCAATTCAGTTGACAGGGCAGGTCATTGATAAAAATCAAAAACATCAACGGCCCTAAGATAGAACCCTGAGGAACCCCTGATGCCGAGGTGTGCCAGGATGATCGGGTGCGGTTGACTTTGGTGCAGAATTCTCTCTCGCCTAAATAATCTTCCAGCCATGCGAGAAGTGCTCCAGAAACACCCGCTTTGCTTATTTTGTGAAGGAGCAGACCATGGTGAACTGTGTCGAATGCTTTCGCAAAGTCGAGAAAGATCACATGGACTGGTACCTTTACATCCCAGGATAGTGTCCAATCGTTCCAAGCTAGTAGAAGATTCGTCACACAGGATCTTCCCTTCCTGAAACCATGCTGTGCTTCATGGGGTAGGTTAGTCCCGTCGAAGTATTTTCTCATGTGGTCGTCAATGAGACTTTCGAATATCTTCGATATCACTGGGAGTAGCGCAACTGGTCTGTAACTGGTCGCGTTCTGCCGGTCACCACCCTTGAA